GGGCAGCGGGCCGGCGGGCAGCGGGCCGCGGCGTCACCCGTGTTCCTTTGCTCTGCAGGTTTCTCCTGACCCGGTTAAAAGAGTTCTGTGGCGAGTTTCTGAAGAAGAAACTCAACCTCTCCAACTGCGTTGCGGTTCACAGCTTAGCCCACATGTATTCCCTGAATCAGCTGGCCCTCAAAGCGCAGGATATGATCAGGAGAAACTTCCACAAGGTTATCCAGGATGAGGAGTTCTACACTTTGCCGTTTCACCTCATCAGAGACTGGCTCTCAGACTCGGAGATCACAGTGGACTCTGAAGAAATCCTCTTTGAGACTGTTTTGAAGTGGGTTCAGAAGAATCCTGAGGAAAGAGAAAGGTACTTTGAAGATCTGTTTAAACTGCTTAGATTGTCTCAGATGAAACCCACTTACCTTACTCGTCACGTCAAATCTGAGAGGCTGGTATCAAGCAATGAAGCCTGTGTTAAATTGGTGTCGGAAGCCGTGGAGAGTCATGCCTTGCGGTCTGAGAACTTGCAGTCCGGTAATCTGCAACATTCCACTTGTCCCGTGGCGTTATTGCCGCGCTTTGGACAAAACATGGACGTCATTATGGTGATAGGTGGCGTGTCGGAGGGAGGAGATTACTTGAGTGAGTGCGTAGGGTATTTCATCGACGAAGATAGGTGGGTAAACTTACCGCACATACATAATCATCTTGATGGGCATGCTGTTGCTGTGACAGAATCTTACGTTTATGTGGCTGGCTCCATGGAACCAGGGTTTGCCAAGACTGTAGAAAGGTACAATCCAAACAGAAATATTTGGGAGCAAGTCTCAAATCTAATAACCAGAAAGCATTCTTTTGGCCTTACTGAGGTTAAGGGAAACTTGTACAGTATTGGTGGACATGGCAATTTCAGTCCTGGCTTTAAAGATGTGGCCATTTATAATCCCGAGCAAAACAAATGGCTTAACCTGGAGTCAGCACCAAAGATCCTTCGTGATGTCAAAGCTGTTTCTGTAGAAGACCGGTTTGTTTATGTGGCTGCTCGTACCCCAGTTGACAGTGATAGTGAAGATGGATTGAGGGCGGTTATTATCAGATACGATGCTGAAACAAGGCAGTGGCAGGATGTGGAGTCTCTGCCACTCATTGATAATTATTGCTCTTTTCAGATGTCTGTTGCTAATACAAACTTCTACCATACAGCATCGTGCTGCCCCAAGAGTTACCCCATAGATAATGAGGAAGCCAAGATAAAGATCTCTGGCAGAGCCTCAGATGAAATACTTGAAAGCTTACCCCCAGAGGTTCTTAGCATTGAAGGAGCAGCTATTTGTTACTATAAAGATGATGTTTTCATCATCGGGGGGTGGAAGAACAGCGACGATATTGACAAGCAGTACAGGAAGGAGGCCTATCGTTACTGTGCTGAGAGAAAGCGCTGGATGCTTTTGCCTCCCATGCCTCAGCCTCGCTGTAGGGCAACGGCCTGCCATGTGAGAATTCCCTTCAGGTGCCTCCAGGGAACACAGAGATACCCTATGCCGCAAAATCTGATGTGGCAAAAAGATAGAAGGCGGCAGATGCAGGAAAGGCAGATGCAGGAAATACACCGACACTCCCTAAGCTTACGGAGAATGCCACGCTCGCAGATTGAGTGCTAGTTTCTGGAATATCACTCCCTGGGGAATCTAGGAAATGCTGTGTTAAACCATTTTGTTAGGCTTGGTACGTCTTTATAAGACACGAGGCTGTTGATTGGATTTGGTGCATAAAAAGAGCATCTTTTATGTATTGAAAATTAAGAAGCTCAGAAATTGAGGACGAATGGGAATTGAGAAACCATGTGAATCCAACAATATTACTTAATGGTGCCCAGGGTAAAACTGTAGCCTGTAATGAGCTGTGAAGTATCTCTGGGAACACGCAGTCTGTTATTTCTCTCTTCAGATCTTTGTTTTCAAGGATTTCTGTAGAGTTAGTCTCCAACAGTTCTATTTTGAAAGTCAGATATCTCGGTCTTAAGTATTTAGTGGTTACATTTGTGTGTGCTTGAAAGCACCCGTTTTATTTGCACTTCCATATTGACATTCCTTTGATTCTCTCCTCAGTGACTAAACTTCACATAGAATTGGTGTTAGTGTACTTAGCGTTCCCAAGTTGGAGGCAAGTGCAATAGTTATACCTGTGTATGAAAACAAAAGCACAATCTTTCTGTATAAAATTACTTCAGGATGTTTCTATGTGTATTAAATATTTTGTGTCTGTATGTTGTAGAGAGGCTGCAGAGTTTGTTTCTGAAGGGATGACTGGTAGAAGGTGAGACATGTGCTAAGACAGAGAACTTGAGGCAGTGGATTTTTTTCGGGTATATCTGGGGATGCTTTGAGTTTGTTTTTGACAGCTTCGGCAGAAACTTGGGTAGCAATCAGCCTGATAAAAGGAGTGGAAACCAGAAAAGTATCCACCCACCAACATGGAGTAGCCAACGTGGATTAGTAAAAATGAGATTATTCCACAGTAACAGATTGAAACCTGAGCTACCTGTAGATCCTCTCTCAACTGTTGCATGCATTTTGGTTCTAGTGAAAAAGTGATCAGAAGAAGCCCTGTGAGCCCGTTTCCAGCCTGACTTTGACAATCAGTCCCCTTTGCCTTCAGTGTGCTTTCCTTAGAAGCTTCTGGTCGCTGTGCTGCAGTGCTCCGTAGCACGTCAGCACTTGGTGTTCCTCCTGAAGGGAGACAGTTGAGTCTTTGCAGTCTAAATATTTGAATTTCCCCACTTACTGTGGCGGTAAGACTTAAGCTGATTTAAACACCGTTTGGTGTTTTTGAGGTGGGTGTACGTAAAGCAGTGCCCTGGCTGGCTCTGGTGTGCTTACTGCTGTACTCCCGAGGAACAGAACATGGAATATTTGCTGTAGAGTATCCCTGCCTCTCACTTGGTTGTCCCACCGAACAGTCCTCCCTGATCCACAGAGCTCCAGGATGGCTTAGGGATTCAGTGCATCCTTCCTACCTCCTTTTCTTCCCCGTCCTTCCCTTCATTTGAATGTTCCAGGTTTTCCCGTGCGACCTAACTCAGGATCTTAGGGAAGGGAAAGGGGGGAGTAACCAGGGTGTTCCAAAATCCGTGTGGACAAACGTCGTTGGAGAATCTGTTCACTGTCTTTGGCTCATACGAGGATTTGCTGGTGGTTTTGATGTGGGCAACTTCATTGCAAAAGAACTTCTAAACAGTTTGGGTTTTTTGTTTTGTTTTGTTTTTGAATTGTTTAGCTTTCTGAGCTGATACTTCTCATTTTCCAGTTCAGCAGGCAACCTAGATCATATCTGAAACACTGGGTAAGTCTTTCAACCACACAGTGTGTAAAGGTTTCTCTGATGTGTGCATCCCTTAATGCTCCACTTTGCAGTTCACTTGCCACTTTTGATATCAATAACTTGTCTTTTTGTAATAAAATAACTAGCCTTGTTCAGAAAAAACAAAACTTTAAAGTCTGAGCAGTTCAGTCTCAATTTACTCCTCTGTGGTAACTGTGCTGTATTTTATTTGCCTGTTGGGTTGTTAGGCAAGGGCAGGTGAAGTTGCACGATGCTGGCCCAGCGCAAGAGAGGAAAGAGGTGAGCTTGTCCAGGTGTGAGGCTGGTGCTGAGGAGTGACAGTTACCGACTCAGCTCCTGCAGGCCTGGGAGCAAGGGGTTTGTCAGCAGAGTTTGGCCCATGAACTCTTGCAGATTTGGCTGGAGTAGTTGAAGAATTCCTGCCCCCCGGCAGGGTTTATGAATAGAGGCGTGGAAATGCCTCACAGCTTTAGGACTAAATCCGTTGATTTAACTGAAATTTGTGGGAGCTGATTTTAAGATACTTCACCAGACTTTGCACATAAAAGAGTGAGGAGATTTTACGTACTCCATCCCGCTGACTTTGCTATAGGGATTTTTAGCAAGCGGTTGAAGAATGGTAGTATGTCCGACCACTACAGCTCTGTCAACAAATCTGGACAATTTGTAGGGAGAAATACCAAGATTATTATTTCAGCTGGAATATGAACTAAGTAGTTTAACGTGTGGCAGCATGCAACAAAGATGCAAGAAAAACTTCTTGCAGTATTTCTTTTTCTAAGCAGAATTGATATTGCACTTACCACGAGAACTTCTGGCTGACGTGCAAGCTGTGTAGTTTACTAAAGACATTCCACTCAGAGACAACATCAGAACAGCGTCGTGGGCAGCGTAACTGGTGACTGCCAGCCGTGATTCTGTGTGTGATGCACTCTGTCTCCGTGTGTTCTCTTTGCATGGTGAGCAACGGGCACTGTGGACAGCACTGGTTTGCTCTAACTTTTGCTATGCCAATTCTAGGGAATTTTTAAGTAGTTGGGGGTTTTTTTAGCCTTGACTTTAAGTGGACCAATTGCATCGCACCCGGCTTTTAACTGACAAGTCTAACTGTCACATGTAGGTGTTTGGAAGAATTGCGTTATTGACTCCAGCTGGAATTCAGCCCACTAACCTGTGAACCACATAACACATTCCTTGTGGCCCTTGACTGCTGTAGCTTGCTGGGGTTTATAAAATGATCCTGTAAACAAGAGCCTGGGAATTCTTTCGGTGTGTTTATAGTGGTTGGTTAAATGTCAGTGAGATCCTAGTGTGTATTCAGTGAAGTGATAGAAGGCTGACTTCTGGCCTGCCTAATGTAAAAGAACATCAGGTGGACTTTTTCCTCCTGCTTATGACAATCGTACCTCTAGATGTGTCCTGAAGACATGCCACAAAATGCATGTTTCGTGTCCTGTCTTTCTGCTCAGAGTATTAGTGGAGCAGGACACATCCTGCCTAGCACTCGGCTGTCATTGTAGTCATTCCTAGGTGCCATATGTGTACCTCATATTTTATAACTACCTGAATACTCTCTTAGTATGCTGGGTTCATGGGTATTTTTAACAATAAGGCTTTCTCTTGCACATAGTAGGATACCACTCCAGAAGTGAAGAAAGCACGCCAACTTTTTAGCATGCATTATGAATAACTACGCCAAGCGTTCTGCTATACTATTTCAACATCATTTTTCTCCATTACAGTAAATGCTAAAATCAGAACTGTTGGCTCAACCTGTGTGTCGTGGAATAGACTGATCGCTGCCAACAAACCGAGTCACAAAGAATTGCAACTTTTTAGGTTATTTTGAACACAACTTGTAATACTGTATGTTGTAACATTCAATGGGCTTAGAAAGGCAAGCTTAAAAGAAGTGGTTTATGGCTTGGATTTATTTTCAGCTATGTCCACGTGATGTTCGGGTGTAAATCCTATCTCTAATCTGGCGGTCCTGAGCAGAGGTCTGATCAAACAGGTGCTCCTGAGGATCTAATCCTATTACTAATATGAATGTAAAGTGTGGAACTAACGAGACCTTTGAAGACCATTAATAGTCAGATACTCCTCATAGGTCCGTGGCACTGTGGATCACGGCAGCTGTGCTCTCCTGTTGAGATTAATGTAGACTTCACCAGATTGCTTGGAGAAGCAGCACTCCCCTACTTACTTCCAGTAAGGTAAAGTAGTACGTGTGTATCGGCTGTTTCATACAAGTCCTACTGTTGTGTTCTTTACCTTAAATACACTGTACTAAAGTTTATTGTAAGAAGTGAATTAATGAAAATAAACCTTTTATTTCTCTAGCATTCTGTTGTACCCTTTATTTTTGAAGTTGCTGTGTAGGCTGTGGCCGATATGTGTGTTCTGTGGTGCCATTGAATGAAAGTTTGAAATACTAATTATTCTTTTGGCCTGTATCAATTGTTTTGATTTTAGAATAAGTGTATACATTCACTTGATGTTGAGAGGACTTTATTAGCAAAGTGTAGCTGTTTATACAGACAGGCTCCTGGTGGCAGAAGTGAAGCTGATGTCCGTTGGAGAGTTGTGCTCATAGCAGTCTCATCTGGCGACGTACTCCCTGATGTTGGGTAGACCTGGCACCACGCAGCAGCTCAGAGCGCTACGGTTGATGCCCATGTCTTGAACGTCGTGCCACTCGTTAGCTTTTTCGTCGTAATACTCGGCGTTGAAAGTCGTCATAAAACCATTAAAGCCACCGACCGCAAACAACCAATCATCCACCACTTCGATGCCAAAGTTGCTGCGAGGACTGAGCATTCTGGGGACCGTGTGCCACTCGTTGGCAGCGGGGCTGTAAGCTTCCACGGTCTGAAGCCGGTCGACTCCATCGAACCCTCCTACCTGCGAATGCCAAAGGTGTGGGGTTGAAACAGGCCCTTCCTCACCTGCCCA